GCCCCATATTTGAACTCTCAGTAACTACAATGCGCAGCCCTTAAAAGGGGCTCGATTCATGTTTATTAATACTATACTTACCATATGCATTAGGACAACTTTTTAAAAGTAAATAAAAAATGAGTTTAACAAAAAAGTTACATGTTCAACTGTCAATCTAAGTCTATAATCCATGTGGCAGACAGAACTGATGTGACTGTTCTTGATTCCTACACTTCCTGGTGTTTAAACCTTTGTATAATTCCCTCCCCTTGCACATGAACTGGACCTATGGCTTGCTTCTAATCAATGAAATACAGCAAAGGCAATGGGTTGTATGTGATTACATGTACGTGATTATGTAAGAACATAGCACCAGTTCACCTTTGCTAGACTCTCTTCCTGTGCTGACCTTGAAGAAGCAAGCTGCTCTGAACCTAACAGACACAAAGAAATAAATTCAGCCAATAACCCAAGGAAGTCTGGGGGCAGACCTTTCCCCAGTTGAGTCTCTAGATAACAACCCAGCCCTGGCCAACACTTTGACTGCAGTCTTACAGAGGACACAGCTAAGTTGTGCCCAGCCTCTTGACCCATAGAAATTGCGAGGTAGTAAATGTGTTGCTTAGAACCGCTAAATTTGTAGTCATTTGTTAATAAGCAGCTTAGAAAATGAATAAAATCAGAACCTAAGGCATTTCTGAACTCTTTTTTCACAAAAAGGCCTACGTTTTGTCCAATTTCTAAACAAGTAAATGTCATTTACATGCAAAATTAAAACACAGACTAACATTTCAAATTAACAATAGTTCTAAAGAATATTTACATAAGGTAAAACTTAGGAAGTAATTTGCTATATAAAGCAGTTCCTACACTCTCTTTTAACACATTTGCCAATATACCCAATTTTACATAATACTTAGTAGACGTAATAAGTGTAACATTAGGGCAATTCTCCTTACAGCCCAAACAATAATAAATAGTTTAAAAGTTGATATCTAATTAACGATATTTGCTAGTCAGAAGAACTTACTTACTAGTCATCAGGCAAAGCAATCAAATTGGAGGACAGCAAGGGACTTGCTGGAGATGTGCCTGAGGGAGTAAGACACTATCTTACAACAACAGGGCTCTTACCCCCTCAGGCACTGCACCAGCCAGCAAAGCATCAAAATACCAGGTTCTCAGGTCATGCTGCTCTCAGATCAGGTGATGCCCTGTGCAACTCACCAATCCTCCCCACCTTGCAGTCAAGAATAGTTCCGAAAAATTCCCAAAGCAGAAACTTCCACGACACAGGCCACACTTACACACAGCAAAGCATATAATATGAAGGTATGAAATTACAAGTGAGAAACAATAACCACCAAAGTTCTTGTTACTTCAGGAGTGGCAGGGGTTGTGGTTAGAAGGCTCATTTTTCTTAGAAAGAGGCAAACATTCCTCTTCTACCACTCCCCGTAAAAGCCTTCAATGGCACAAAATAACATTCAAGAATAGGAAATAAATTACAATATCCCAAATTCAAACATTTTGGCACTTGATATTGGTAAGAAGTGATAACTGAGACCAATTCAATAATGGTTAATTGATGAAGATAACCTAACACCATAAAACTTCACATCTGCTTTACAAATTAAGAGAAATCTTCCTAGAAATACAGGTCTTCTTCAACATATTCAGTTTTAAGAGATAACCCGCACTCCTTCAATATAAGAAAACATGTTTCACAAGTAACAAGGCACCTGAATGACAATCAGACTACTGAAATACTCAAGAGCAAGTCACACCCAAGAAAGCTCAAGAAAATCAGAAGGCCAAAAGCAACCCCACACCACTGGTTGTCTGAGATTAAGTCATTTTACATTTTCACTTCCGGACTCAAGGACACATTTAGAAGTCCACACAATTTCTCTGGAAATAATCTCCATTTATTGGTATATTTCTATAGCTCAATTCATCTACCCCATTCTTGCCGCATCATTAAAAGGCTATTTTACCACTCATGTTATGCTCTTATGAACAATAGCTACTTGACAGTGGGAAAAAAAACGTAGATATAAATTAAAGCCAGACAAACCCCTCTAAGATACCATCAAGACTTTTAAACGTTAGGAAATACCCTTAAGACCCGTTTTAAAACAAAGGTGATGGACAATACTAGCAGTAGTCGAGAAAGCGTCTGTTCACTTTAACACTCCCCAGTCTGAAAAGAATAACAAAGACAAGATTTACTTCACCTAAAAACTCCTATATAAATACAATCATATTCTGATGTCCGGCAACTCAATTCTAGGAAATTTCTACAAACTGAAATATCTGGATTAGGCATTTTTCTTCCAGTCTCTAGAGAAAATAAGAGCGTATATAGCCAAAATAGATGTCCAAAAGACAGCAAAACATAAAACCAACACAGAAAACTTCCTCGTTCAATGTGGCAATTCATTGTGAGGGAACTACTAAAAATTCCACTTGCTAGACTCTTAAGTGTTAAAAATAAAAAGGGGGAACTGTTTTTCATTTTCTATAAATTACATGACAGCTCACAGAATAATTCTGAATCTTATTGGTACCATATTTTCTTATTAGGAGACGTGAATAATCTAAACAACAATTAAAACAACAGCTTTACAAAAAACAATATGAACTTTCCATTAATTCTGAAATAATCCTTTTATCAATTTTAAGATGGGTTATTTGTATATAACCATTTATAAAATTTGTAACTGAATAAACACAATAATGCTATAATAGATACTAAAAAATCAAGTAAATGTGAAGTATAGTCAAGTCTAATTTTTTAAATTATAAGATCTAGCTCCCTAAATCTCATGATGATGAGAAACACACTTCTATTATTTTCCTAATAACCCGTCCACTAAAATATAGGTAAAAATCTCAGTAAGGCACGCCACTAAGATGGGGTTTTACATAAAGTGTATTCCATCTCCCTGTCTCAACAAAAATTTCAGGATGTGGCACTTTCATTTGATCCTGTCATACAGTAAGAACAGGTAATTTCTCTGATCCCTTTCCAGCAATTCTCAACTGAGGTTCCTCATCTGAATCACTAAACACAGGCAATTTTTTCAGTGACTGTTTTCTCAACTGTTCCAAGAATGATACATAACTAAAACTGTCCTAAATGCACTGGAGCTAAAAGTTAAAATGCATTGCACACTACAGCACAATTGTCTCCACAAAGCCGGTTGAGAAAGGCTGCTATAAGTTCCTCAGAAACTGTCTCTGTACTACTAGGTCCCAGTCACCCAACCCCAACAGCACTAAAAGAACTATAGTGACTGCACAAATCTACAACTTAGATAAGAAAAAAGAGAAATGCTTTATCTCCAACTTTAAGCAACTAGGTATTTTGACTTACTCATTTACTAGGAATAACATGGGGCTCAACTGTCCCGTGCTCTGAATGGAATGCATTTACTTAACAAAGTAAACCCATAGAAATATGTTTCTCAAAGGGAATTATCAGCTCTTAGAAAATGAATTTTTAAAAATCAGCATATTAAATATTAACTATTAACTTGACAAGGCTTTTCCTATTCACCCTTCTTTAGCGAACTTATTCATCTTTTGATAACTGCTAAATGCAAGTTTTCACTTTAAAAAGATAAAGATAAATATTAAAAACCAGTTTGCCCTTCAATCTCACACTAATCACCAATTCTCAGAATCTGCCTTTTATATTCTTCAATGTGGACTACAGCAACTTCAACTGTTTAGTTGTGATCAAATCACTTTAAGGACACCAGGAGAGTTCTTTTACTCAAAAGCAAATGACTTTTAAAAATGGCCCAATTTTAAGAGGGATGAATATTTTTAAGAAGCAAAAATTAATTTAAAACAAGGTAGCTAATTAAAAGTCAAGCGTCATTCCATATTGAATGTGCAAAGCGTTACTAAAAAGATGGGAAAAATTAAACATGACATTCTTATTCTTAATTTATGCTGGCGTGTATGCTGATAGTACAGAACATCAGAACAGATAAATTACTACGTATTCCACTTTACTAAGTCTCCACTCAAAGTTCCTACGTTTACAAACACATGAGTAAAAGAGGCACAAAAATGTAGGGGATGCTGTTTTCGCTGTTCATCTGCGCTCAGCTGCGAATTCTTCTAATATTGGATGCATAATGCGATGAAATGGGAATGCTTATCTTCTATATTTGTATTTATTTTCATAAATCGGGGAGGGGAGGTGGTCTTGATTCATTTACTATTAGCGTTTTGCAATAAAGTAGATCAGCATAAAACATAACTGAAGAAGAATTCACTTTTCCCAGGACAACGCACCCTTCCTCCTGTTTCTATAGTAAAGCACATCATTTTGCTATTAAAAATGTCCATTTTCCACAACTGACTTTTTCTTAACTCTAGTCAACACTGCTCTTCAAAAGAACCTAGCCAATTACTGTATCTTGTAGGCAGAGTTGCAAAATTTTTACTTCCTTAGGAAACTTTTCCACTTTTTAAATGCTTTCCAAATTAAGCAGGACTCACATTAACTGTGACCTTAAGTAGCGGTTCAGTGGGGTTTAAAAACAAACTTTTCATTAACGCTTTCCTCCAATTAAAGTGACATAGTAAGTGGGACTGACACAGATTTAAGGATTACAGCTTTTTATTAAAGGTCGGTCCAAAGATGGTAACTCAGCGTTCATTCGAGACCCTTTGACCTTTGCCCTTTAAAAACTGTTCCCCACTGAGTCCCCAGATAGAACTACATTTAGCAACAGGTCTCCTCCTGACTTCCCGGTACTAAAAGCCACAACCATAAGGGCTGTTTCGTCGGTTTGTTGTAAAACAACATTTGCTCCAGTCATCTCTCTGAAAAAGAGACTTTCTCTACCGGGGAGCCGCTGAGGTGAGGGTGCTCACGATGTTTAAAAACCAAACCACGCGTCTACGCGACAGCCGCACCGCAGCAGTTAAGTGCCGGGGGTTTCTTCCCAGGATGGAGACCTGCGGGGGCTGGGCCTGGGAGCAGCCCCCGGCGCCCCGGGCGAAGGAGAAAAGAAGGCTAAAAATAGCCGGCGGCCACAACCCACGTGCAGCCGCGGGAGGACCGAGCGCGGGCCCGCGGAGAGGGGTCCGTACCTCCAAACATGTGCGGCGAGAGGAGAGCTGGTAAGGAGCCAATCACCGGGCGCAGTACCCCGGTGCTCCCGGCCGCCGCCGCCGCCGTCTTCAGGGCTGCTGTGCACCGAGTCCTGCGAGCCGTAGGGGCCGCCGCTGCTGTTCGGGATGCTGAAGGAGGACTGCGCCGCACGGGCCGCCGACGCCACGCTCCCCACGGCCCCGCCGAGGCAGCGGCTGCGCGGCACTGCCGAAGCCGCCGCGGCGCCGGCCGTAGCGCTGAGCTGGTGCGCATTGGGCACCTGATCTGGGAACCTCCGCGCAGCGGCGGTCAGAGCGCCTCCGCCGCCCGCGGTCCCATTGGCCCCTCCGCTGCTACTGGAAAGTAGATCTGAGCCCGAGCACGCGCGCGTGCGACTGTTAACTGCTGTCGGGCCGCTCTGCTTGGCGCTCATGTCCGTCCTGGCCCGGGCAGGGTCCGGCCCGGCCTGCGCGCTGCGCCCGGAGAGCCCAGAGGGCAGGAGTGAGCGCGGGAGCTAGAGAGCAGGGCCCAGGCGCCGCGGCCGGTCCAGAGAGGCCCCCGCGCGTACAGGGCCGCCGCCCGGCGCCCCCTTCTCTGGGCGGCGGGCGAGGCTGGCGGCTTGACGCGGGCGGGGGAAACGAGGAGACGCGCAGAGGAAGGGGTCCCGGCTGCGCGCACCCCTCGCTGGCTCCAGCAGGAAGGGGCGGCTCAGTTGGCCGTGCGGCTGCCGCTGGTTTTGCGTCTGGTGCGCCACAACGGGTCGCTGGTGCTCTCTGCTGCTGCGCTCGGCGCCCCGAGCCTCGGCACAGCCTCCTCTCGGGCGGCCGCCGCTAGCGCCGCTATCCTCCGGCTCCCAAGGCGGCTGGCGGCTGAGCGGGAGGCGCCCGCCCAGACTCCGCCGGGGCCACCTTCCCTCCTCCCCCAGCCACCCAGCTGTTATTAACGGAGAAAGAGGGAAAAACGGGTGGCGCGCGAGGGGAGGACGAAGAATGGGAGGGAGGGGTGGCGCGCGCTTCCCGGCAACCGTCGCCTTGCTCCCCCTGCGAGATTAATTTCACAGGAGATTAATTTCTCATTTACAAATAAAAATGTGAGTTTAGAACAGAATGTTTTAAAAAGGTAAAAGCATTCATTGCATACTATATGCCAGCACTATACTTAGGACATACATGACTATATATGTGAGCTCTTACCTCACTTCTCTTGTAGAATAGTTATTATTAAACTCATTTGAGAGATGAAATGATTGACAGCTGTTGAAGGATTTCTTGAAACCATAGAAACTATAACTTGCAGAGTCAGAATTTCAGTTCAATTCTGACATCAAAGCTATACTTTTCCTACTATATCAAGCTGCATAATAAATCTACACTTGTGAGACGTGGAAAGATGTTTACGATGTTTAGTGATATATATTACATTAACATTGATAATGTGATCTCATTAGGTAGTATTGAGTAACTCTTAATTTCATGTTTTAAATGCCTAGGGGGAGGACTGGAAAGATAATCACCAACATTTTTTTTGTTTTTTTGAGTTGGAGTTTCACTCTTGTTGCCCAGGCTGGAGTGCAGTGGTGTGATCTTGGCTCATTGCAGCCTCTGCCTTCTGATTTCAAGTGATTCTCCTGCCTCAGCCTCCTGAGTAGCTGGCATCACAGGCGCCTGCCACCATGCCCAGCTAATTTTTGTATTTTTAGTAGAGATGGGGTTTCACCAGTTGGCCAGGTTGTTCTCGAACTCCTGACCTCGTGATCTGCCCGCGTTGGCCTCCCAAAGTGGTGGGATTACAGGCATGAGCCACGGCGCCTGGCCAATCACCAAAATATTAAAAATGGTTAGCTCTTAGAGGTGCTTACTTTCCTTTTTCAACTCTTTATTTTTTTATTTTTCCCCCAGTGATCTCACATTAGTTTTCCAGAATGTATAATGTTATTTTTTAAAAACCTCTGAGACATAAACATTCTGTTAGAAATTTTTTTGTGGTTATTTTTCCTTTCTCTTTGAATATGTTACAAATAGCTTGCAGATTGGAAACAACTGGTTAATTAAATCTTCTGCTTGGTTAAAGTGGTAATGCATACGGGTGCTATTATTCCATTATGTTCCAGTTTTTATAATATATTTTATATATTTTATGAAGGAATAAATTCAAGGATCTAAATGAAATGAATTTTGAAATGTTTCTATAAATCTTTGTATTTTTCTATTAATCACCATATTTTAATTATATAGTTTTATATTGACTTAACAGTTACTATTATTTATATTACAGAATTGGTTACCACATATGTAATATTTTTCTATATAGAAGCATAATGTATACTTTTGAAGTGACTGATTCACAAGTGAAATGATCTAAATTGTCAGAGTTTATAATGTCTAAGGCAACCATCACAAAATGGTACTTTGGAAAGATCATTATGAAGAGAATGTATTTTCCTCCATTATCTCTTTTTTTTTAGTCTTTTTAAAGGTAGTCATAGGCTCCTGGTATTGCACATTAATGGGAATAATGAATTTATTTGGACTAGAGACTAAGACCTGCTGGAATGTCACCAGAATAGAACCTCTTAATGAAGTTCAAAGCTGTGAAGGCATGTTTCTTCCAAACATGCTGTCATTTGTAAACATTCATCAACATTTAATAATATGATTCACTTTTAAGAATTATTGTAAAATACTGTTGTTCACTTAAAAAAATTAGAAGTGACTCACCTCAATGAGTATTTTACATTTTAAAGTAGTTTTTTGAGAAGGCTGTGTACTTACAAATTTGAGTATAAAGTTTGGAATTTGAGTATTAACATATCCCATTGTAATGCAATTTTGACTATAAGTTAGTCTTCTATTTCAGAATGCAAAGATACAGAAAGATGTGTCTTGGAGTAGTTTCAATATATAAATTTTGAGGGTAGATTAAGTAGTCAAATATCTATTTGTAATAACTAATATAAATTTAATTATGCATACATATTTTAAAAATTTAAAATTGCATAAATATGCAATAATAGATTTAGAAATACTACTTTTTTATATATGCTCATAGTTCATGAGTAGTATTAATAAAACTCTTCCTATTTATATTCTACATTGATTTCTTTGTCAAAGAACCGCTTTTGGAATCATCTAACAGCTTCCCAGGATACATAGTGGTCACTTCCATTTAAGATGTTTGCATTTCAGCACTTTTACAATTCAAGTACGGTGCTGTCCCTTGAGACTCTCATTCAGAGCCACATGTATCTCTTTTCATAACACTAATACTGTTGTTTTTTCTTTATTTCTTCAAATTCTTAAGAACATGACTTACTATATTTTATGAATAAATTTTTAGACTTGTCTGTTTGTAACAACATTCAACTCTTGGAATATGAACCAAATCTATTTTCATTACATTTTTTACTAATTCCCTCAGTAAAAATAGAATTGATGAGGATGTTTGAGGGGCAATTATACTTTTTTGTGTACAATGTAAAGGATTGGAGAAACTGCCTCATAAAATGAGAGGCTTAGCAATGATTCAGTCAGCTAGAAGGTGTGACCCTGTCTGAGTGGTGAAAATGATCACCTAAGTATGGTGTTAGTTACATTCCCGATAAGTGATAGGTTCGTGTTTGGCACTTGGCACACCGAGATGAACCAGCTAGGCGTGGAGCCTTACCCTCATCGAGTTTATGCTGTAAGGGGGCTGTTAGCAGTTACAACTGTGATGGATATTACAAATAAGAAAATAAGGTTCCCGACATTAGGAGTAAGAGAGGGTAAGTATTTTAAGAATAGGGAGTAGCATATTCAAATATCCTGAAGCAAGAGAGAACTGAAAGAAGGCTAGAATTCCTGGAAGCAATGGAGAAGAAAATGATGTGAAATGGTGCTGGGAATATAAGGAAGGATCAGATCATGAAAGGCGTGCACTGGCGAAGGATTTTATACTTTATCCATTGAAGAATTTTAACAGATTTTCATTTTAAAACATTATTTAGTCAATGGTATGGAAAGAATATTAGAAAAGGGACAAAAGTAGGTTCAGGGAGACCAGGCAGGAGACTTCCTCTATTCTCAGCAAGTGACTGAGGAAAGATAATGTGGAAATGCCTGGGTGTGAGAGAGATTTTGGAAGTAGAATGGACGAGACTTGGTAATTGTTTGGTAAGGGAGGGGAAGGTGAGTGAAGAGTCATGTGAAACACAGTTGGGTTTCTAGCTTAAGTAACTGAGCTCCTTTGAATGGTAAGAAGCATTTGAACAGCAGCAGGTTTGTATTGTTATGTTTCATTGTGTATGCATTAATTTGAGGTACTTAAGACACCTCAGAGTGGGGACATGAAGTGGCTATCTGGGTATGAGAATAAGGAGAAAGTTCTGGATTAAATGTAGAGTTGGAGTCATCTGTATATAGATCATTGGAGCCATGGATGTGGAAGAATTTCTTTATGGAGAATATGCAGATGGAGAAATGAAGGGGGCATACGACAGAACCTAAGGTGGTCCAGTGTCGAAGAGTGGTAAATAAAACAAGAGAAGTTACTGGAACTGACTCAGAGGAGTGATCAGAGAGGCAGGGGGAATCAGAAGGCCAGCCTTCAGACCTTGGCTCCAGCCAGTTAAAGTGAAATAACCTCTGACAAGTTGAGTATTCTATGTTCTGTTTTCTCAATCATAAGAAAAGTATTTTTATATCTGCTAATGTCATAAACTTGTTCTGAGAAAAATGTGGGATGATCGTAAAGTACGTATTGCCACACACACGCACGATCTTCTGTATGGAATATACTAAGATTCTAGCTATACATGATAATGGATCAAATGACTGGATCATTTCGTATAGACTAAAGCTGTATCCTGAAGTCAAAACCATACCTTAACTCTTCCTAGAGCCTAGCAACAGATAAAAATAATGCAATGGATTTTCTTTTGTATTCATTAAGTGGTTCTACAGACAGTTCCAGACACTTAACCACTAGCAGCATCAGCTAATAAATGTGAATCCCCAACAAATCATTACAGTGTAATAGTAATTCTTTAGAGGAAAGTACAAATGCAGTTATAAAAAGTGTTAAGTATAAGTGTAACTATATTATACCTCAATAAGGGTGAGCTTACATATGTGTATGTGTAGATATACACACATATATATACACACATACATATATATGTGTCTGCATACACACGCACACAAACTCTTATAAGGGTAAAGAATTAAACACAGCAGCAATCTGGAAAGCAAATGCTTTCAGCAAATTCATGAGCTCTTGATTGCAAAGCACCGAGATAATTATGCCCAATTGCTTTAGAGTCGTATATTCATTAAACACTGATTATCTGTATCTTTTCAAAGGATTGGGAGATCCTGCTTGCTATTATGTTGGTGTAATCTTTATTTTAAATGGACTAATGATGGGATTGTTCTTCACGTATGGAGCATACCTGAGGTAAGACTACTACTGAATTAAGAGACCTTTCAGTGGGCTTATACAGACTGGCTGATATTTGTTGATTAAATGAAAAGGAAAATTAACGAGATTAGATTCATATCAGGAAAGTTTGTGGATTTGTTTGATTTTTTTTCAGAAGCTTAACCAATATCATGTAACCAGAAACTGGAGATGTCACTAAAATTCTATCTCAAAGGCATCCCTTTTATCCTGTAAGGGTTTTTTTTTTTTTTTTAAACTAATTAAGATTTCCTAACAAAGGCTTTAATGGAATATCTCCTAGTTCATGTGTAAAATCAATAAAACATTGGAGGAGATCTTTCATTAGCAATAACAGCAGCTTATTTCTAATTGTATTCTCTAAGGGTGAAATTAAGAAAGCAGTAGGAAAAACTGTGTATCACATGTGGCGGGCACTTACATCTGCTAGCCTGTCTATCTTGATAAGAGTACCACAATGAAGCAGCAGTGAGACCTGTCTCAGGTGATAAGTTGAAATTAATTTCAATGGTCGTGTGTTTTGCTCCCACACTTAATTGCTCCCTGAGATAACCATATCAGCTACTTTTTGTCAATGAAAACTAAGGTGAAGTCGGTTTTGGTTACATCTAGGAAAGTATCTGCCTTTCTCACAAAAGGACAGACTTAGCTGCCCCTTGTCTGTTTCTTCCTCCTTTGATTACACTAGGATGTCATGCCCAGAGCTGCAGCAGTAATCTTGTGACCATAAGGGAAAGGCCATAAACATAGGAGATCTATCTGGCCTACCATGCTTCTGCTACTGAACCAATGCCAACAGATACTTATCTTTCATTTTCTTGTTGAATGATATAATAAACAACATCCATATTGTGTGAGCCACTTTTGGTAGGTTTTCTGTTTCTTTCGGTGGAACATTTTCCTAGCTGAATCATCAGATTTCTTTACAAGGTTATTCTTGTTGTGTAAAACATTTAAAATTAAAGTTAATTAATAGCTTTACTCTTTGAACAAATATTTGTTGAGTTTTCATAGGCTTATGTCAATTTAGAGTTCAGTAAATATACACACTTTTTGTTTTAGGAAGTTTTCAGCATAAAAAACACTAGCATAGAATCAACGAAAACTATTAACATAAGTCAGTGTTGTACCAGGGGTACTATCCAGCACAGTACATAAAAAGAAGAGTAGTGATAAGTATAAGGATTGGAAAACTTGAAAAAAAAAAAAGTGTTCTTAAAAGTAGATTACATCATATATCTAGAAAAATTTTAAAAGTTGATTGATACAATGTTTGCAATAATAAGAAAATTTACAATGTTACTAGATGTAAACATTAATATTAAAATTCAAAATTATAAATTTTATACTTTAGGATCAAATAGAAAATGAAATTTTGAAAGGATGCTGTTTAGAATAGCATTAAAAGCATGACGTTCCTCAGAATAAAACCAACAAAAGATATATATGACACCTGTGGGAAAATGATTAAAACATTCCTGAGATATGTCTGGGAAAATTCAAGTGGAGAGATATTCCATATTCATTGATTGAAGACTTGATATTAAAAAGATTTATAGATTCAATGCTCTACCAGTCAAAATTCCAACATATTTTTTGTTGACTTTGATGAGCTGATTTAAAAGTTTTCAGAAATGCAAAGGGCCAAATGCAGTCAAGGTATTCTTGAAAAAGAAGGATTTGCACTATCAATTGTTGCTATATTATAAAGCTAATGTAAAAGACACTATGATATTGGCACAGGAATAGACAAATGGGTAACTGAAATAGAGTACAGCCCAGAAGCAGAAATGTACATTTAAAGGCATTCGATATATGGAAGAGTGGGTATCGCAGATTGGTGGGTAAGGACAGGCATTTTAATAAATAGTGCTGGAATAATTGGGAGATCATATGGAACAAGGAGAAATTGGAACTATATAAATAATAAATCCAAGCTGGATTAAACATTCAAATATGAAAGACAAATTTTTTATAAAGTGTTCAGCGTATAATACAGAAGTCACTTGGAATAAGAAATGATTTCTTAAACAAGACACAAAAATCCAGCCATGAAGAAAAACTGATAAATTGGATGAAAAGAACTTCAGTTCCTCAAAAGAACTATAGGATTAAAAAAAAAAACCTCCAAGTGAGTGAAGATATTTACAAAGTATATACCCCACCTACTATCCAGAAATTCCATTAATTAACTTGATAAATATTTATTGAAAGCCTGTTGTGACTTGGAGCACTGTTCTGGGTGCTTGGAATACAGAACAGAAATCTCTGTCCCTGTGAAGTTTATATTAGAGTGGGAAGATGAAGACAAAGAAGAAAGACAACCTGATAGAAAAATGGACAAAATGTTTATGAACTGGTATTTCCCAGAAGAACACCAAATGGTCAATAAACATATGTAAAGTTGACCACCATCATTAGTCATGAAGAAAATACACATTCAAACCACAGTGAAATACCAACTCACATCTAATAGATTGATAAAGGAGCTTTCATCCACCACAGGTGGACACATAAATTGGTACAACTATTTTGGTGAACAGTGTACATTATCTGGTAAAGTTGAAGGTATAGATACCTTGTAACTCAGCAATTCTAGTTTAAAGTATATATTCCCAAAAAAGTCTTGCACATGTGTACTAGGAAGTACATACAATAATATAGTAGCATCATTTGCAAAAGCTTCAAACTGGAAACAACCCAAATATCCATTAACAGAGAAATGAATACATTTTGGTTTATTAACATGGTGGAACAGTATACAATAATGAGAATGAATGAACTATACGGCTACACACAACATGGTTGATTCTTACAGATATAATTTTGAATGAGTGAATCCAGGTACAGAATTTTTAAAAATACTGCATTCTTCCATTTGTATATTGTTTAAAAACAGATTAAAGTAAATCATAGTTTGATATGTATATAGAAAGAGTTATGTTGATAATCTCAAAAATCAGGTCAGTAGCTGATTCTTATCTTGGAGGCTGGCAAGTAGAGACTCAGTATAATCGTTTCTCTATTTCAATTAATTATGTGGTGACTACATGGATGTTCCCTTTATATAGTTGTATAAGCTAGAAATTTTATGCACTTTTCTATATGCCATATAGAAAAATGTAAGCTTGTTATTGTGAGGGAAAAGAATTGCTTTGAGATTGTTTGGGCAGGTTTAAAAATGTTCTATTTTTTTTTTTTTTAAAGTTCTGTTTTTGTGCCAGGCACAGTGGCTCACACCTGTAATCCCTGGGAGGCCGAGGCGGGCGGATCATGAGGTCAGGAGATTGAGACCATCCTGGCTAACATGGTGAAACCCCGTCTCTACTAAAAATACAAAAAAAATTAGCCAGGCATTGTGGTGGGCACCTGTAATCCCAGCTACTCGGGAGGCTGAGGCAGAAGAATCGGCTTGAACCATGGAGGCGGAGGTTGCTGTGAGCCACGATCACGCCACTGCACTCCAGCCTGGGTGACACAGCGAGACTCCTTCTCAAACAAACAAACAAAAAAACAAAACAACAGTATCAAAAGAAATGGTTTTTATCTTTCATCTGATTTTTGTATTCTGCATTATTGCTTCTCTGGGACTCAAGTAAAGAATATTTGCAGTAGTTTAGACAGTTATAAGTTAATGGTACACGAAACTGTTAGAATCTTCATCTCTCAATCCCTTAAATCCAATTTCAAAAGATAAAAATTTACCTTTGTTCAGAGTATTCAAAGGATGTGATCTAGACTCTAAAGTGCTAGTCTGTTTCTTAAAAAATTATTTTATGTGGTGGTGCGCGGTGGCTCACACCTCTAATCCCAGCATTTTGGGAGGCCAAGGTGGGTGGATCCTGAGGTCAGGAGTTTGAGACCAGCTTGGCCAACATGGTGAAACCCCGTCTCTACTAAAAGTGAAAAAATTAGCCGGGCATGGTGGCATGCGCTTGTAATCCCAGCTACTCAGGAACCTGAGACAGGAGAATTGTTAGAACCCAGGAGGTGGAGGTTGCAGTGAGCCGAGATTTCACCACTGCACTCCAGTCTGGGCAACAGAGCAAGACCCCGTCTCAAAAAAACAAAAAGAAAAGTATTTTATGTTCACACCCTATGACCCTATGTATTTTATTTAGAAAGTGTTTTAGCTATAATAAATTATAAAATTGAGATTAATTTATATGTACACTTTTTAGAATTGTACATTCAGGATTTAAACATCAACTACATGGGTATGGTTTAGTACTATTATGTTTTAAATATGATTTAAACTATGATTTTAAATTCTGAGGTAATTTTGTGAAAAGCTCACTATATTTTCCATGAATTTTGATTGTATACTCTTATTTTTTTTTTTTACAGTGGTACTCAACTAGGAGGTCTTATTACAGTACTGTGCTTCTTTTTCAATCATGGAGAGGTTTGTTTTCTAGAAAGCAATTTTTAAGAAGTAGAAGGGGTTATAGAGGAACAAGGAAATATACTCGTCAAAACAATATGTAATTGTATACTACTTATGACTTCACAATATTTTAGAGACCCTTGTGTTATAAGTTGATACTTTAATCACACTGATTGAAATGTTTAAATAGCTAGAATTTCAAACCTGAAATCTCTTGCCTTACTTTTAGTAAATATATACATATACATATATTCTGTAGAGAAAAGGAAATACTGTACTTGTTGAGTTGAATCACGTCATGCACATTATCTGATGTATTCCCAGTAAACTTTTTTTGTGGGTGGTGGCAGCCTCATCATACAAGTTATGAAATTTAAATTTAGAGAAGGTTAAGTTATTTATCCGCATTCCACATTTGCTGCATTATGAAGCTGGATTTCCCATTCCATGTCTGTCTGCCTCTAAAACCTCATATATGTATATTAATTTATATTTTATAAATGATAAAATTATAGTTATATTTTATAAAAACATATTTTATATATATAACATATATATTCAACTTTTTTATTGTGGTAAGAATAAGTAACATGAGATCTGCCCTCTTAACAGATTTTTAAGTGTACAATACGGTATTAACACAATATTGTATAGCAGATCTCTAGAACTTACTCATCTTGCCTAAGTGAAACTTTGTATGCATTGCACTCCCCTTAACAACAATGAAAGAGGCCTCAAGCCTGACAGCAGGGACACAGTTAAGACACTGCCTCCTGCTCCCTCACTTCTTTCTGTTACGTCATGCTGTCTGTTCAGTAATGCAAAATGCTGAAACTTACTAATTCAGCCCAATGAAACACAGTCCGCCTAAAAAAGAGCTCATAGAAGCTTATTTCAAATACGATGGATTCATTCAACAAAATATTGAGTACATACCACGTCCATGCTCTGTTAGATGCTGAGGATATGGCAATGAAAAAGAGAGAGATTCTGACTACTAGCTCTTGGGAACAAAATATTTAATATGTTATGACACAGGTTACATAGGGTGGAAGTACTTTTTTTTTTTTTTCAAGGTGGAGTCTTGCTCTGTCGCCTGGGCTGGAGTGCCATGGCGCGATCTTGGCTCACTGCAACCTCTGCCTCCTGGGTTCAAGCAATTCTCCTGCCTCAGCCTCCTGAGTAGCTGGGATTACAGGCATGTGCCACCACGCCCAGCTAAATTTTTGTATTTTTAGTAGAGATGGGGTTTCACCATGTTGGCCAGGCTGGTCTCGAAACCCTGACCTTGTGATTCACCTGCCTTGGCCTACCAGAGTACTGGGGATTACAGGCATGAGCCACCGCACCCGGCCAGGGTAGAAGTACTTTCATCCATTGCTGTTGCGTTAATTTTTAAAAATCAGTTAGATAAAGGAATCATAAAAATTACACATGAAAGCCATATATATTATTTTAAAGCAAACAAATGCATTGTCATTCAACAATGTGCTGATATAATGACAAAGCTTTTTCTTTTAGTGTGCCAGGAAACTGTTGGTATAAGTTGACTTTCTTATATGTATCATAATTCTTCTTCCAACATTTACAATTTTGGTATCTTGGAAGAGGAGCAATAACTTTTAAGACTCTTGCAAAGTAATAAGAGTTCACATTCTTTCTAGAATTTCAGAATTGTTGATGGAAAATTTTTCTAATACTCTGACCTATATGTCTTAGAAGTCATTTTAAAGTTTGTATGAAACTTTAATACTTTCATTACATGCATCGCATTTGTAGTTCACAAATACTTCTCATTGTTTTTAAAATATATACTTAACCTTTTTTAAGGTACATTGTACAAATTCTGAGGCAATCTTAGCTATTCGAAGTGTGTATTTATATTCATTCGAATATACTTGTTATGTAGAAACTCTCTTGGTGCTTGCGAGTGATCTAGGTGACATTTGTTTAGGTATTTGTCTTGGCATGCATATATCCCAAAGCCTGGGATGCCAGGATCATATGCCAGGATCATACCTTGAGAGCTGGACTGTGGATCTAGTTGGTCAGTCACAGAATTCTCACAACTCTTATATGTACAATCTTGTTTGTCCCTTGGGTTTCCTTTTGCTGGGTCTGATATATCTGTTGCTGATTTCTGGACATGGTAGTTAATTGCTCTCTACTTAATGGCCTCATGCATTAAGAGAGCTTCAAAAACTGAGAAGCCATGCTGGACACTCAGAAATGGGATATAGTGAACCTAGTGTTAAAATTACTAAAACAGACTCACCCCTGGTTTTTAAATATGTTTGTTGTAGTAAACATGATGTAAAGTGGGCATTTTGTTGATTTCAGGCCACCTGTGTGGTCTGGACAGCACCTCTCCGTGAAAGTTTTTCCTATCCATTCCTTGTACTTCAGATGTATATTTTAACTTTGATTCTCAGGTAACTTTGATTCATAAAACAAAGGCAAATAAATTATAATTTAAGTTTCTTAAAATATGCTTCAATTCAGCACTTTGGGAGGCTGAGGTAGGTGGATCACTTGAGGTCAGGAGTTCAAGACCAGCCTGGCCAACATGCTGAAGCCTCATCTCTACTAAAATACAAAAATTAGCCAGGCATGGTGGTGTGCACCTGTAATCCCAGCTACTTGGGAGGCTGAGGCAGGAGAATTGCTTGAACCTGGGAGGCAGAGGTTGCAGTGAGCCGAAATTGTGCCACTACACTCCAGCCTGGGCAACAGAGCGAGACTCCCTCTAAAAAAAATACATAAATATATATTTTATATATACATATAATATATATATATACTTCAACCTATGAAGTTGTAATTACCAAATTTAGACCATTTTTTAGTTATTTTAAAAGTAAATTGAGTATAGAGTTAAGAAAATAATTCAAAATTGCTATGTAAAAATGGCTGTCCATTTAAGAGTGTAGGCTACAGATTTTAGATAACTACATTAAGTTTTAATAAACCAAAAGGTATGTGTTTGTATATAGTTTGCCAAGATTCAAAAGTTTTTGAGAAACAATTACATTTTCTCTTCAAAGTTGAGGTACTTTGACATTGTTTTCTAACCTGTGGTTTTGATGACTGTGCCATGAAAAGTGTTCTGTGTGCAAACGAATTTGGGAAATGCGGAGTTAGATGGATAAGGAGTACATATATTTGCATATTTATGAAGCATTTCTGAACAACTAATGTTTCTAATAGGACAACCAGTTTCATTTCAAACTTTATTTTTTGGATACTTTTTTTTTGTAGGGATTACGTTTATAAGCATTTCAGATATTTAAGAGGTCTGAGAAATGAACAAAAAAAAAAAACCCATATGTGGTAGAATACTATAAATAGCCTTTCAGAGAAATAAGTTTGATAGAATACTAATGAGAACTCTCACTGAATGAAATAATGATCACTATCTCCTCCAAACTCCCAAAGGACCCCATTCTTCACCTGCTATCCCTGGCAGATTCTGCCTTATATAAAAATCATTTGTTTGTCTTCCTTGTTTTTTAAAACAGTAAATTTATGAATCATCCACACATACACAAATTTTTATTTCTTTCTTTAGAGATGAAGTCTTGCTCTGTCACCCAGGCTCATTGCACCCTCTGCTTCCCGGGTTCAAGCGATTCTCCTGCCTCAGCCTCCCAGGTAGCTGGGATTACAGGTGCACACCACCACCTCCAGCTAATTTTTGTATTTTTGGTAGAGGCAGGATTTTGCCGTGTTGTCTAAGCTGGTCTCGAACTCCTGACCTCAAGTGATCCGCCCGCTTCAGCCTCCCAAAGTGCTGGGATTACAGGCGTGAGCTGCTGTACCTGGCTAATTATATGTATTTAAAAGTACTACTGGAAACAGGGACCATGCCATATTTATCTCTTTAACCACGGAACACTGCACACGTCCATGCAAATATTTGTGGCACTCAGATAAAGCTAATTGAAGAGTGGTAAATAGTAGTGTACTGGGGTGGCACAAACCTTGAGAATGGAGCAGGCTAACTTCTGATTTCTTACCAACCTGACGAGTATATTCTGGGGTTGAATTTGGATTTAGGAACCTCCTCCTCATTCAGATCTCTATATCTTTGCTCTACACTTTGCCTTCTCTCAGAGATTAGGTGATGGAAGCTGCCCATTCTTCATCACCCCTTGCTATTCGTTCCCAGTTTAATTCCTAGGAAGGTGGGTTATATTTTTTTGAAGTGATATCAGTCTGGTCAGTTAGGGGTTTCATGGAATAAAATGCTTTAATTAGAACATTTAGGGTTGTATCATTGAGGGCATGTGCTATACTCTGTATCTTAGTCAAAAGTAATTTTTGTTTGAAAAATATAAGACTACAAAGTACATAATGAGTATTTTATGATAACATTAGTAAACAATATGAACATTTAGAATTTTGTTTTTGAAAATTTATATATGGTTGTACAAAGATTCATCAAAATCCAATACAGCATTTATAAAAGGAACAGTTACAGTTCTATTGTTTAGGTAAAATATTTGTGTTTCTTTTTTCATATCTAAAAGTTACTGTAATTCTGTATGGTAAAAGTTATTGGTTCCTAATACATCTCAGTAATGCAGAATGGACCATTTAAACTTCCACTTGCTTCAGCTAAATTCTAGAATGACTTTTTAATATTTTAAGATTCTTTTTGCTTAAATTTTTCCATAGTTGTAAACTTATTACTTTGTTAGCACTTACATTTCTCTTCAATGTTTTTTGAAACATAAAAGTGGTGGTATGTAAAAGTTGTTGCTGCACATACAGGAGAAGCATGTTGAGGTGTGCAGGGGCAGCGCCGCGTCCTATTTTCTGACCTCCTTGCTGGAGTATTAAATTTCTAATGTCATGCAGATGTAGAGGAAGATGAGCTTTTGTATTTAAAATATTTAATGGTAAATTACAACGTTATTTTTATAACTCTAATTTTGATTGCTTCATGCAAACCCTGTAGTATTTCAATTTATTTTTAGTATACTTTAAAAAGTTAACTATATATTTTGTTGTATGAATAGTAAAGGTAATGGAATAATTTAGATTTTATCATTTTGCAATTAGTCTTTCTTTTTAATGACAGCCTGTTTTTAGGGTGAAACTTATTGGTATCAATTCTCTCTATTAAGGACCTCGAGCAATGATAGAAGGCCCTTCATTGCACTCTGTCTTTCCAATGTGGCTTTTATGCTTCCCTGGCAATTTGCTCAGTTTATTCTTTTTACACAGGTAAGAAGATTTTTTAAATTAATTTTTATTTTTATTTTAAGTTCTGGGGTACATGTGTGGGATGTACAGGTTTGTTACATAGGTAAATGTATGCCATGGTGGTTTTTGCACCTATCAACCTATTACCTAGGTATTAAGCCCAGCATGCATTAGCTATTTTTCCTAATGCTCTTCCCACCCCATCCCCCAGCAGGCCCCAGTGTGTGTTGTTGCCCTCCCTGTGTCCATGTATTCTCATTGTTTAGCAACCGCTTATAAGTGAGAAAATGTGGTGTTTGGTTTTCTGTTCCTGTTGCTGAGGATAATGGCCTCCAGCTCCATCCATGTCCCTGCAAAGGACCTGATCTCATTCCTTTTTATGGCTGTGTAGTATTCCATGGTGTATATGTACCACATTTCTTCATCCAGTCTGTCACTGATGGGCATTTGGGTTAATTCCATGTCTTTGCTATTGTGAACAGTGCTGCAGTGAACACATGGGTGCATGTGTCTTTGCAATACAATGATTTATATTCCTTTGTGTATATTAATTAAGTTGAATGCAAGATGTACTTGGTTGTTTCCATAGAAAATTTTAAATATGGTGACATTTATGCCCTAAAAGATTTTCAAAATGGGGAATAAAGTTTACTTAAAGGTATGATTTTTATGAAATAATATAATTTCACATTATTTTACTGTGTTGATTAGTTTGACAGATTTTAAGGCTCAACATGTGAAAGAGTTTTTCTATTATATTTATTCACAAATGTTATTTTTGGTGTTTGAGATAGTATCTGTATATATCTACCTATAGATTTTCCTTTTGTCCTGGGAATCATTCTGGGTGCCAAGCTACACAGCATGCTAAGGGCCAATCCTACTCTTCACAGCAGGACATTCTGCTTCTAATCCAGCTAAATGTTGACTGTTTTGACTGTGGAGCAGAATTTTACCTGGCAGCATTTCTGCGAGCTTTAATCATAAAGCTCATCATTGCTTAAGTGAGCTGAGCCCATATCCTATTTCCAAAGCAGCTACGTAACTAGTACCAAGAAACTGAATTGGGAAAGCAGAGAGTAAATGGAGAATTTTGATGAAATTTCATGATACTAAGATTTTCCATCAGTGTTCCTTCCTGCATAACAAATACTGATGATAATAATAATATTCTATATTGGAAGTGAGAAATTCTGCTAAGAAGTCTCATGCTGCCAGTAGCCTACAAAGAATGAAATTATAACCCCAGCTCAATTGGTGCTGCATGTTTAAAGTATTCTCTCTGCTTTACTTCATAATAGTTGGCCCCTTTCACGTTATAACACAGACATTATTCTATGGTTTTCATTATTTGCACATGCCAACAGAGTAGAATAGATTTTTAATGAGCATCACTTCATTGCAAGCCCATTTATTAATCCAGTGGTAATGATGCAACTAAGAAGCTCTTTGGGTCGGGCACGATGGCTCACACCTGTAATTCTTACACTTTGGGAGGCTGAGGCGGGTGGATCACGAGGTCAGGAGTTCAAGACCAGCCTGGCCAAGATGGTGAAACCCTATCTCTAATAAAATTACAAAAAAATTAGCTGGGCGCCTGTAATCTCAGCTACTTGGAAGGCTGAGGCAGAGAATTGCTTGAACCTCGGAGGAGGCAGAGGTTGCAGTGAACCAAGATCACGCCACTGCACTCCAGCCTGGGTGACAGAGCCAGACTCAGTTTCAAAAACAAAACAAAGAAAAAGAAGAAGCTATTGGGTAAGTTTGGTATTGCTGTAATGATTTTCTAGCCGTTCTCTGGATATATACTAGGCTGTTATTTTTCTTTACTAATGTATATAGTTTTGTTTGTATGTGTGCATTTCATGCTTACAGAGGGATAATTCAATGTTCTTTGTTATTTTCTGGGAGTACGTTAAGATTTTATTCTTAATTGTGTTTTTTATAGATTAAGGTTAAAATTAGTTTATTGTGCCACCACACCTGGGTAATTTTTTAGTTTTTTGTAGAGATGAGGTATCAACATTTTGCTCAGGCTGCTCTTGAACTCCTGGGCTCAAGCAGTCCTCCTATCTTGGCCTCCCAAAGTGCTGGGATTATAGGCGTGAGCCACCATGCCTGGCCCAATTTTTTTTTTTTTAATGACTTCTGTGCTCTCCTGGAATTTTCAATCCTATCAGTTATTTCCTTGAACATTTGAAGCAAAACTAAAGACATATCTGATTATGCCAGACAAATGTTTGAGTGATCTCCAAGCTAAGAATAGTTTTTATATATTTAAAGGGTTATAGAACAAAAATAGAAAAAGAATATACAAGAGACTGTATGTGACCAACAAAGCGTAACATATTTATTATCTGGCCTTTTATATAGCAAATGTGCTGGTCCCTGATCTAAATCTTTTGTGGATCTATTTCTATTGTGTTAGCGATAGTGTCTTATCTCCATCTATTCTGGGTTATTTTTGATTTGGTGCTGGACATTATACATGAAAAATTGGAGAGGCAAGTAAAAAGCACTAATAAATCTTGAACCACCTTCATGCAATCAGATTGAGATGATCCATAGATGGGTTTCAGTCTTTCTGAGGGCTGCTTGATTTCTGGTTCACTATTATAGTATGGCCTTTTGAAACTCCAAACTAAAGCACCATTCTTGGTGCACTCTGACTGCTGAATCTGCTGAAATGCCTGCTCAGCTTGCTGGTCTCCCAACTGCCTCTCAGCTGGCAGGCATCTGCCTCTGTTGAAATTGGCAGATACCTCTGGGAGAAAAGTGGCCCAAAACGTCATGCTCATCACTATAGATTGCCATCTATCTTTTTAATTCCTCATTTGCTTTGTTAATAATCTGTGGCTTTCATACATATTTTAAAAATATTTTTATTTATATATTTATATTTTTCCTAGCCATTCTGGTTCTTAGTGGGAAGGAAGGTTGGTTCAAATTCCTTTACTTACCATTATTAGAAATGTAGCCCTCCTCTTATATTTACTTTGCCTGTGAATAGTAAAGTGTTAGTTTTCTATACTTTTTATCACTTTTGCTTTTTTATATTATTTCAGATAGCGTCATTATTTCCCATGTATGTTGTGGGATGCATTAAACCAAGCAAATTTCAGTAGATCATTTATGTGAACATGGTAACATTTTTAATATATATAAGTCAAATATTAAGATAGGTCCTCAGAGTTTATAAAATCGAAGTGATTCTGTTTTATAGGGTACCTCCTCTTTGGTAATATTTAATACATATGCTATTGGTGATATCCAGAAGGAAAACTGGAAATGTATATTATAGATGTCGTATTATAATAGATTATACTTTCAGGTAGACTGTGTATGTGCTTTACTCTCTAAAACTTTTATTTTTATGTTTTATTTATTATTATTACTACTTTAAAACTTCCTTTTCTTTCTCAGACATGAGATTTTTAGCATTTTGCCTGAATGACACTCTAACTGAAATTTTATATTCTTGCAATTTTGTTTTTGGCTTAGGTCCCAAACATAGCTTCCTTAAAAACATAAAAAGTTAGTAAAGCTTCATAAATAATAGAAGTCCAGAAGTCTAACAAAAATAAGATTAATAAAACTGGTATTTACAACTAAATCTTTCTTGTTATGTTACTCCATTGATAAAACAATATAAATCATAGACTTATTTTTCATTGTTCCAAGCAGCAGATGGAGAAAAAGTTAAATTCTGCCAGATAGAGTTTATAGGCTTGAATTTTAATACTTAGAATCTAGCAGTGACTTGAAAGTCTATTATCATTTGGCCAAGAGTCATTCATCTTTATGCAAATAAATTTGCATTAGAAATGGCTATATACCTACAAAGTATGCATTATGCCAATCAATGTAATAACCATAAAATGTATTTTTTCCACTTTTTTTTCAGATTTCAGTTATCATTAGTTTCATTTTGATGTTTGGAAATTTAATGTACTTATCTTCTTTTTATTCTTCATCTTTGTTAATGATGTGGGTGTTTAGTTCATAAAGTTGGTTTTTTTAACCTACCAAATAGTATGTTTTCCTGTCTAAAACAGTTATAACAGAATAAATAGACCCTTTCCTGATTATCATTCAACATGACACAGTTCTTCCCAAGCAAACCTGTCTTATCCTTGAAAAATATTACAGTATGAAGTTTTTCTTTTTAAGACAGTGCCCAAGTAAATATTGGAAAATTATTATAAAGTAATAAGACTTTATACATACTTTAAACATATCCCATTTTATGATAAATATGACTTCTTTCTCCTAAGTCACTTGAGGAGGTTAAGTACTCATTGCAGTGACACTGCCACTGCCCAAAACATTTTTGGAACTCCTCTGAGTTTCCTTCACAGATACGGCACATTCTTTAGAATGTCTTCACTGGTGGCAAATCTTTGCCTTTCCAGAGTGAATTTGATTTTTGGAAATGACCAAAATTTTGTGAATATTTTGTGTAATTGGGCTGGGAAATACAGATCTTGCTCAAACGATGGTGTGACAGTAAAGTCATAAGACCAATTATTTTGCACCTATAACTAAATTATTTCTGAAGGCAGTTTAGAAAGTGTAGTTCCAAACTACTTTGAGCAATAGCAAGACAATTAGAATAAGTGTGTAGTCTGCTCACAGGAACTACATGGAATGACACTCATTTGGATATGTGTTTGGAAGGGTGGTTTAGTGAATCAGTTCTATTACACTGTAGTCATATTTCTGATGTCTATAAGCCAGAACCTAGAATATTCTCCTCTACCTCCCATCGCCACACTGATCAGAAATGATACCAACTTTCTGATATCTATAAGCCAGAACCTAGAATATTCTCCTCTACCTCCCATCTCCACACTGATCAGAAATGGTACCAACTACAGTAATGCCAAAATACAGCACTTTTCCATGTATGGTGCAGTGATTTAATCTTTTGGGATTGCCCTTATGTTTTAACATTTTTGCCTTCCATATCCTTTTTCCTTCATAGTAGTTAATCCCTCCTCTTTCTCTCCCCCCAGAAAATG